GTGGCCCTTCTGAGTATTGACATTTTGACAGTAGTATACAGACAGTAGGACGTTAAACACTATGATAGATATGTAAAGGGAAATTGAATTTTAGACAGTGGATCAAATGAAATACAGATGTTTTAGATGGTCATCAAGATTAGAAAATGCTTTTGATTTACCATTTTTATTCTTGTATGACGACATGATTGAATATTTGTTTTATGTGTGTTTCTGCAGAGGGGATCCCTCAGGTGTATTACTTTGGTCCTTGTGGGAAATACAATGCCATGGTTCTGGAGCTGCTGGGACCCAGTCTAGAGGACCTGTTTGACCTCTGCGACCGTACCTTCTCCCTCAAGACCGTCCTCATGATAGCCATACAGCTGGTAAGCACAGGAATATGATGGCTCAGGTTAGCTTTTTTTATTTAGATAGGCACCCTGGGTATGGAATGACTTTGACAGGATTAATAACAGAACTCACACATCACACATATTAGTTTAAGTTAAAAATAAGTCAAAAAGGATAAGTCAATTTTAAGATGGGTTTTCAAATGGAATTTCAGATGTCTGATTGAATTGATCTGATTTGTATAATCAGATCAATTCAATCAGACATCTTCTGAAGTATGTGACTTGAATTCTACAAAGAAGGAATTCTTTGATGAAAATATCGTTTGCAGCAGTGTTTAAACTTAAATAAAGTAAAGTTGTTGTTTTTTACAGATTTAAAAGTTTTTGTACTTTGTGTTGCTTTCTTTTAAAACTACATTTACCAAACAACTGATGAAAATCAACAAAAACCTGAATCTATTCTTAGATAACACGGATGGAATATGTCCACACCAAGAGTCTGATATACAGAGATGTGAAGCCAGAGAACTTCCTGGTTGGACGGCCAGGAAGCAAGAGGCAGCACACCATCCACATCATCGACTTTGGTCTGGCCAAAGAGTACATAGACCCCGAGACCAAAAAACACATCCCCTACAGGGAGCACAAGAGTCTGACTGGGACAGCACGCTACATGAGCATTAACACACATCTTGGAAAAGGTGAAGGAGTTTAAAATGATGTTTTTCTTCAAATATTTAAAATATTGCATGTGAGAGTGGGGTTTTTGCCTTTTTTCTATCCATTCCAACTAAACACTCTCGTACACGCTCATGTGATTCAATGATAAATTGTTGCCTCATATGTGAAGTGTTTAATAAGTGGGTGTGGGGGAGTGTTTGTTTGAACCCTGCCCAGTGTTGGTTCTCTGCTGAATATGATTTAAAGCAATCCTCTTTTGCTCAATGTGCCTTTTGTACTGTTTCACTTTGCCACCTTTTTATTTTCCATGTTTGTAAAAAATAATTTGGTTGCAGCAAACCATATATTTTGTCTGTATCTTCTCATTTTCAGAGCAAAGTAGAAGGGATGACCTGGAGGCGCTGGGCCACATGTTCATGTACTTCCTTCGAGGCAGCCTACCATGGCAGGGCCTTAAGGTATTGTAGTATATAGTACACAATGTGCATTGGTTTTACACAGTCTTACATCAAACTACATCTACTACCAAATATTTTCCTGCCTGCCCTAACAAAAGCTAAAATAAAACGTTTTTTTGTTAAAATTAGATTTTGACTGCACTTTGTAGACAACCAAACATTAAACCTACTTAGTTTATGTCTATATTGTCAGGCCTTTCTCATAGTTGGGAAGTTCTTCTAATAGTTTCCATAATTGTACTGCAGAGGAACTTCAACTTCGTCGTTATCAGCAGTATCTGCATTGTCCTCTCTGCAACCTTTTCTGCTTGAATCCCGGATCATTTAATTTAAAGTCGGGTTAAGAAATGTTCTCTTGTCTGTGGGCCAAACTGGACCCTTTTATCACCTTAATTAGTATTCTATTTGGAATTTGTGATCAAACGATGCCTATGGCAGGAAATCAGTGCAGTGCATATGCATTAAACATACGCAGCAGTGTGGCACCAAGGAGAAGTGCCATATGACAATATTTCACACTGGAAGAAATATTCTAAATGCACTGAACAGTTTAAACACATTTTTCTCACTTGGTTCTTTCCAAAACTGGGTTTTATTTCTGGCCGAGCTCATTTAAGGAGACTGTGTGAATTGTTTCTTTTTCGTCTGCTGTCGGTTAGCTGGAAGAGTAAAGACAGACTGTGGAACAGTTCCTCATGCAGCACTCCATTTACAAGAAATTTCACAATCTTTGTAAAACAGTGCATTGGTGCTGTTTTCTAAAAATATTCTGTATTTTTTGTGTTTTTGATTGTTTGATCAAATCAGATTCAGTCTGTGATAACACTTTACAGCAGACGTATCGGTCACGGATGGATTTTATGAAATTGAGGTGATGGAATCACATTGAAGGACTTTTTTAAAAATGATTATATAATCATGGATGCAAATTGGATTATGGCCTTGGAGGTTTCTCCCACTTCACATCATGTCTGTCTGCCAACACAGTGACATGTCACCATATTAATTGATTTGTATTTGTGTTTTTGTCCATTTTTAGGTGATAAATACATATGTTTTCCAGTCGTCTAGGTAATGTAGGTAATAAAGGTGTAAGCAGAATATACTGGAAAAAAAGACACCCCATTTTGAACATTTGCTATGTGGGTGGAAGCTCTGGCTGGATGAATGTGGAAGATGTATGAATGTGTTGGTGGCTGAGCAGAGAGCTATTTCTCAGCTGCACATGATGTGACAGTCAGCAGTGATATACAGGGAACAGAGAACCCTTTGCAGGTTTCAATGTTGCTGAAAGGCTACAAAGATGGAGCTCGTAATGTCACATTCATTAGAAAATCTTTTTGCAGATAACTCTGTAAAACATCTATTGTATCAATATCATTAAACTCACTATTGCAGCACTGGTTATAAACGATCTGTTCTGTTTGCATTTCTAGGCTGACACTCTTAAGGAGAGGTATCAAAAGATTGGCGACACCAAACGAGCAACACCGATAGAAGTGCTGTGTGAAAGCTTCCCTGGTCAGTAAAACTACCGTTTCCTACCGTCTACCATGACTGTGATCCAAGGTAGTTGTCTGGTTTTCTCCTTTTTTAAATATATTCCTTTTGTAACAGAAGAGATGGCCACATACCTGCGCTATGTCAGGAGGCTGGACTTCTTTGAGAAGCCTGATTACGACTACTTGAGGAAGCTCTTCACCGATCTCTTCGACAGGAATGGCTATGTCTTTGACTATGAGTATGACTGGGTCGGCAAATCACTTGTGAGTGCCCCTCATAGAATCCAATTGTTTCGCTGTAATCTTTAGTTCACATCCAGCAAACACAGTGACAAAAAAAGTATGAATTATTGCTCATGTGTATTTTGTTGGAATTAATATTGAGAGTTATTTCTTTTAATTAGTAATGACACTGGAGTTATGACTGTGTTTCAGCCCACACCAATTGGTCCAATCCCGAGTGATGCGCCACTGCAGTCGAGCAGCAGAGACAAAGCACAACAGCAGACCAAAAACCAGGTGAGCTCATCAGCAATAAAACACAACAAACACCACACCCATTCACCAGCCTCACAGTCCAATGAGTGACCTGTAGACCGACCAACCCAGTCAGTCAAGTTCCCCTGCCGTGCTGTGTCCAACCGTAAGCAACTTCCTGGAGAGAAAGGCTGCTACTTGGTTCCAGTTCTGCTTCATTCTTGTCTTTTCTCTTTATGGCAATGAAGTCATCTTTGCTCAAAGTCTTTGTCAGACAACACGTTCATAAAAAATGTGTCTAGTCACACAGTAACTGACATGCACAGTCATGAGGCTGAGCCGCTGTTTCATCTGTGAAAGAGCTTTTGACCTCGATTTGTTCTTATCACCTTGCCACTCTAAGCTCCAGTCATTGCATGCCAGTTGAAAATGCAAGAAGTGCATTGTTCATATAAATGACAAGGTATCAATGCTTAGTATGTGACAAGTGTAATTCCTTTTTTTCGTAATGGCATGCTATCTAAACCCAGTCGTGTGCTCTGAGTTTGAAATAAGGTAAAGTTTTAGTTTTATTGAAAATGATTGTGGTGCAAGGCAAACCCACTGACTTCTACTTCTAAGAACATTACAAAGGATATTTAGGTCCAAATGGCGGTTGGCAATTAAACAGTCATTTTGCACAAACTCCATATTAATCAATGGGCTTTAAGCTCAGACAATGTCATTTGAAGTTATATACAGGCAGACTTTGAGACAGTTAATGGAATCAAACACTAGAAGAGAGAAAACTAAGGAGCAGGCCAAATGATGTGACTCCCAGGAGGTGGCTGTGTGTTAAAGCTAATACAGTTGTCTTTCAACCAGATTGATTGTTGAATTTACTGTCTACATTACCCTCCTGGCTGCCTTACTGTCAATGTGGAGATGACAAAAGCTGTGGTGCAAGTGTTTTTGTTAAGACTAGAGAGCTACTTTAGAAGCAATGGACAAAATACCTGGAGAAAATTAACAAAGCAAATCATTTTCCCCAAGAACAGAGAAATACGTCTGGTCCTTCACTTCAACTGGTTTCCAAAACTTCATCATTTGTGGAGCGATTGCAGCCAAAACAAAAAATAATATGAAAAAAAATTACACATTTTTGGATCTTCAGCAAAATTGAAATGCATTGCACTCTGTACTGTTACAGTAAGTTTACACTAGCCAATGCATCTTTTGTCACGTTACTTGTGCAAAAGAGTGGATGAAAACTCCTGCCCAACACTGTATATATTGCATAAAATCACATTGAATACGTATGGAAAGATTCATTCTGATGATGTGATTTTAACCTGACAGGAATCCACAGAGAAGTGGTATAACGTTTATGACTACACTAACAGTGTTGACATTTACTTTACCATTTTATCATTAGTAGCTTGATAAAATACTTCTTCTCTCTGTACCACCAGTTACCATAAAACCTCAATGACTCAGTTGTATAGTCACCACTATCATTTAAAAGAAGTATATGTACTCTGAGGTGATGAGGATCAGGAAGGAAAAAATGTACAATTTTATTTTCCAAAATATCAATCTAAATCTCTTTTTTAGATGCAGTAGTACTAGCTGAGGTGATCAATGCCGGTTCCTTTTACTCCTGCATGACTTTGTTAGTGTGTCGATCTGTGCTTCACATAAATTTTTGCTTCCCTCTTCTCTAGTAACATAGTTTGTCTTAACAAGCCTGCTTCCGCTTGGGAGATGTTTTCTATAATTTTTATTTTGTTTATTCACTCCCCCACCTCCCTCCACCCTCGGCACTTCCCACCCAACCACGTTGCCTCACCCTCACCCCCTGACCCCACAACCTCTTCCTTCCCTTCACTGTCCCTCCCCCTTTCTCCTCCTCACCACATTGCCACCACCTGCCTCCACTCTTTTTTGCTCTTTGCGTCAAGTCTCCTGAGCCCAAAGGAAGTGAGTCTCAGCCCACTCCCGTGACCAATAAGGAGACTCTGGGGTCGCACCTCACAGCTGAACGGCTGGGGGGCTCTGTTCAGGTACTGCTGCTGCTGCTGCTGCTGCCACTGCTGCTGCTCAGGTGGCCAATGCATGAAGCCACAGCTAGTTTCTGTTTGTCTGCTTCCCTCCATCCCACACAGTCTTCACTTTGCCTGCCCTTTCAGCTGTTTTTTTTTTCTTTTCTCATTTCTGTTCACACATCTGATTGTTTAAATCCCAGTGTGTCTGTTGCTTTGCCTGATGCCTGTTCTGTTAGCTTTTATTCACCTCATCTGCTGTAGGCTGTGCACAGGAAGGGCCATGCAAAGATGACATCCAGCAATGACTGCTGAGGAAAAAAAAAAAATCTAAACAACAAACAGATAAAATGGCCAATGAAGCTTTGGCTTTACATTTGTCATTAGTAGGAATACTGGATGCAAACATTACTAGCTCTTTAACCTCAACATGGCTATTTTTGTAGCAACATAATCCAGTTTCCCGTTTTTAGAAAATGGCAGTGTCATGCCACCTAGTGTTGTGTAATCGAAATAGCAACTATTAAAATAATTCTACGAGTGACTATTTGGATTTTAAAAAGCGGTGTTCACACACATTGAAACAGGGTTTGTTTGCTGAACTTATTTACTCCACTTCAATTTGCGCTATCTATATACAACTACATCTTTGTGAATCTGAGTGCACCTTTTCAGGTTGCTGTGCTTTTCTGCCTTGATATTGTTATGGCTGCAGATCTTTATCTACAAAATAACAATTCAGATAAAAGCAAAACTGGTTTTCCGCTCAGATAAAGAGTACAATATCGTTCAGCACATCGTTCTGAGGGGGCGTCAAAGTTGTAGTGTCACAAGTTTGTTTGCAGGACTTTTATAAATGCTGACTTACAGTGTGAGGTTAGAAAAATGTATTTGCTGGATTTTTTTTTTGTTTCATTGTCTTTTGTATTACAATAGGTGTTTTTCGACAATGATACAGACAGGAAATCTAAGGGAACAGAAACTTCTGTTCTGAGTTATTGTGCAAAATGACCAATAGAGAAGAGACCAATCGAATGGATTATAAGCCTTGGATTTTAAAAATATTGACACTCCAAGTTTTAGTTAATTTTATGAAATAAGCTTTTTTTTTTTTAAAACATTCACATTTTTTCCTTTATACGTAATTAACTCTGTGTGTAGTCTCAGTCTTGTGGCTGTTGATTTAACTGAAAAGAATGCATTCCAGCAAACAAAACTTGTTTCAGCCGAGTATGTGGACACAGTGAAAGTTGAAACGATTTTTCGATTTCTGTGAAGCTGCTTCTTTGGGGCAGATTACACCTCTTGCTGTTTTTCCTTGTCTGAGACTGCTCAAAGATAAGTGTTTCATATTTTATTGTGAACGTTTGCTTCTCCACACTACAGTCAGTGGCTGTCGGTGTTCATCACTGGTGTTCTGATGCCTCTCTCTTAATTCAGGTGATGAGCTCAACGAATGGAGAGCTGAACACTGACGACCCAACAGCAGGACACTCCAACGCTCCCATCACTGCTCCCACTGATGTTGAAGTGGCCGATGAAACCAAGTATGAAACTGCTCCCCTGATGACAACACTTAAAATTTTTTTGAATTTTATTTCATTAGTTTAACCTGATGACAACACTTTTAAAAATTTTTTTTTGAATTTTATTTCATTAGTTTAATATTATAAGTTCAACACAACACAAAAATAAGAAACCCGACTGATTTGATGATCAGTTTCTAGGTCATTCAATCAATCCATTGATCAGTAGTGAACTGAGGGTCACCACTCAGTGTTGTATAGGTGGTGCAGCAGCAGGGTGGGTAATAGTGACATGCAGCATGAAGGTGTGAGCTCAACATAAACTGCAGTGATGACACCAAACAGGGCAATACTCTCAGCTGGTTTTATTTTTTATTTTCTCATTTACAAAAATGAAATAATAAAGATGAATAAATTTAACCATAATTGTGTAGTTCACACAACCAATGGCACAGACAGTGAGAGGAACTTTTACACCAATGGCACATTTCAGTCGAAAACACTGATGATAAATTACGTCACAGTGTTGTGCACTGGGGAAGTATCAGGGGACTTCCATTATTATAAACAAGCATGACTGAGGATCATGCCATGTACAAGAAACTCTAAAACATTTTTTTTATTACGTAGTAGTACAGTTGATGTATCGTTTTTTTTTATTTTTATTACATAGTTGATGTATCGTTTTTTTTTATTTTTACAGTTGTTGTCTGCTGTCGTTTCTCAATCTGAGTACTGTGTCTCTTTCTGAAGGTGCTGTTGTTTCTTCAAAAGAAGAAAGAGGAAAGCCCTTCAGAGGCACAAGTGAGACAAGATGGAGATGGACGGAAGAGTGAACTTGAAACATTGTGGTCACTGTCGAGTTTTAAATGGAAGCAACTACACAGACCCCCCCCTCGCCTCTTATCTCTTTCAAGCTTCCCCTTTTCACCTGTTTACTCCTCTCACTTTGCTTCTGTCACTTTGTTCCCCCGCCCCACGCTCTATCTCTTCTCTTTTCTCGTTCTCAGTGTTCCCCGGCTACTGACGAGTTAAAGGAATGTTGCAGTCCTACTGACTCCACAACAGACTCCTGATTCCTTTACCGACAAAATTGAACGTACCTGCTTTACAACGGGGGCTCAAGAGAAAAGTAAAAAGAAAAACATTTAAAAAAGAAAAAAAGCAAAAAAAAAAGCTGTAACAATGAAACTCTGTGGCGTGAAAATGAAAAAAAGATACTGTTTGAAACAGTTGTTGTATTCTAGATTCCATAAAGAACGTGTATTGTTCCAACAGTCAACCGATATGATCAGGGGAATCCTGGCAGTGGTTCACACGAAAGAAATCTGCTCCTTAGGAAATTTACTTTGTTTTTTGCCCTTTGGTGTGTGTTTTGGGATCAAGGTAAAGAAGAAAAGGTGAACTATGCTGATGTTGATGTGAGAGACAGGAAGCATTTCATCTACTGTATAAAACAGAATTTGGAGGATTTTATGTGTTTTTTTTTTTTTTTTCTTATTTTGTAATTGAATCCTCATTTTTTTCTAATTCCTGCATTGAAAACTTAATTTTATGTTGTAGTGTTCTGGAATTCAGTTCTTTTCCTCACTCTGGCTTTCTTTACGTCTGTCATCATGGACTTTGTAGCACAGTCACTGGCCTCAGGTACTGTGGAAGATCGAGAGAAACAGATATTAAGCTCTCTTATTATTATTGCACTTTTGGAAAAAAGAAAATTACAGTGGAATACTTTAGGTTTGAAATTAACAGATAAGAAAACAACCTAATAAAGACTGATCTAGGAAGATTCCTTCATGATGCTTATATCTGAGTTGTGGCCGGAAAATGTTGTTGATTTACATGAAAGGAGAAAGAAATGTCTTTCGATTTTTATTTCTTACATCAAAAATAATTTACCAGGAAATCATAGTTTGTGCCTTTCTAAGTAAAATGTTTAAAGCTCATGCGAGTGTCCAGTGATGACATTTTATCTAATCTGTTCCAAACGCTCACTGGATTATTGTGTGTGTCTGTGTGTCTGGGTTTGGAGAATGTAAGTGATCACTGCTCAACTTCTCAGGTGCACAGTGTGCATCGTTTACCTGCAGTGACCATCGTCTGTGCTTCACTGTTAAGACACAGGTTTGTGTGTGTTCTCTCAGAGATGCTAGCAGACACCGTTTTTAAATTTATATTAGTTGACAGAAATTGACAGAAATAATGCCCACTCTGCCCCATTTACCTAGTATGAGATATGTTATTAAAATTATGTACCACTAATGTGAAAAGAAGAAACGTTCTTGGATTCCAAAGTCATGAACATGTTAAGTTTACGTTTTTAAAAAAACAAATTTTGGACAAGTTTTTTTTTTTTTAATGTTGGTGTCAGGTGTGTTTGCTGCTCAGTACTGTGTTCATCTAACTTCAGTTCTTCCAGCGCTTCATCAGCCTGTTGGAGATCATAATGTCTGTGACCATATATTACATTATACATTTAAATGTTTAATAATGTCTTGAAATTACAGACGTGTGGGGAGGGCGAGACAGGTATGGTAAGTTGTGTGGTCAGATTGACCGATGGGTTCAGTGTAAGGGTGGGGTTACACTGTGGGTCAACGGTGAGCTCTGTTTTTAATGGTTAATATATAAATGATTACAATTGACAAAGGAACCTTTTTGTAGGTGCAAAAGCAAATTTAAAGGAAATTGAATCTCTAAATGATATTATACTACAGTAGCTGTGAACAACCATGCCTGTTTTTTTGATGAATGCATACACTTGACTATAACTCCCTTTTTTATGAATGCATACACTTGACTATAACTCCTTTACAGTACTGCATCTGACAAGATGGAGCTGCAGAATGTGGAAAAGAGGAAGATCACAGTAAGGATTCAAAGATTCCCTGAAGAAGAACATTTCATTTTTGTCGTCATAAATTTGTGTCATTGTTTTGTTGTTTATCACTGTTTTGCCCCACAGTCTGTGGTAATCATGGCATGAGGTTGTGGAGCCCCAGCTCTGGTAGGTGATAATTTATCTCTCTGCATGTTAAGAAATGTCCTTTCCACAACACAGAGGCTTTTATCAACACATTTCAGCATGGTTACAGTCATTTTTCAACTGAAACCAGTTGAATAGTTTCAGACTGTGTTTTTCATTTACTGCTATACCCTCTGAAACTTTTCTTCACCCTCACGATTTCAGGTTAAGGAAGCACTACAGAGTTTAGACACCCTACTCTGACCTTTATGTTTCACTGTTGTTATGGGGTTCTTTGGCCTGGTGGTGTGTTTCTTTCTCCTCAATACCTTTATAATCATCTGACCAAATTATATTCGTTCACTCTGCTTTGTATTTTTCAGCTTGTCCAGTCTGAGCAAATCCTTTAAACCGTAGGTATAATATGATCGAAAATGATTGGCACAGTGACCAAAACGTTTTTAGACTATCTACTATGTCGCTGCTCCTAGACCCACGAGGAATTAACCTATTGACCGGGAGTCTACTTGGTTTTAACCAAATTATATATAAAAAATATATTATCATTATAGTTTATGTTTTAGGTAACCCACCATGTATTACAAACAACTGGCACTTGAAATAACAATAATTTGAGAACTCTGTTAAATCATTATGGTTATGATATGGTAGTTCGCTTGCCTCCGTTTCTACACTGTAATTCTGTATTTTTTAATTAATTATTTCTGTATTTAGAGAAAAATAATCGAAGCTTCCTGAATACTATTATTTTAAGACCATTGTTACTAATTGAACTTTGTTGTTACTATTTTTTTTAGTCTAAACTCTAGTAACAGACGGTAAACAACGATTAATTTACCCGATCTGAAAGTTAACAATCAGCATAGTACTTTTCACTGCCTCAAGTCCTCGTATTTATTGCCTTAAACAAATTAAATCTGACATAGTTGGCTGAACACCGGACGACGACTACGTTTACCTAACGGTAAATATGAACTATGTTGCCCTCCGGCGGCCGGTACCTCGTAATGCAGCTCTATCCCATATGCTCAGGCGGGACAAAGCACTTGTTGTAAGGCTTCAGTTTGAGCGGACACCGTTGTCTCTGTCTCTGCCTGGGACTGGACAGTTGAAGAAGACAAATAATTTTAATTTTGTTTCTTGAAGAGTAAGATTTATATTAAATCAGGTTACATTTCTGCAGGACGTTATATTTGTTTCTCACCGCTTCAAAAGGTCTTCGTTCACCGCGAAGGAGAAGTTTTCTCAGGAAACCGACGCCAACCAGACTTAACGACTTTGATTCGACTCAGTGAATCTCAGGTAAGAAGCCGACGTTGGGTGATTGTGCTGTATTTAATAACAAAGTAAAATAATTCACAATGACTCGAAACGTCTTATTGACTTTTCCATTCTCTCCAAGACACCGGTGTGTTAATAACGGTCCGTTTTTAAAAACAGGTGGAATGTGTCTGACGAACTCAAGTGTTAGCGCTGTTTGTGTACTGTTTCCCCAGCCTTTATACTGTATATCAGTGACAAACTCTCATAAAAATGCCCAGAAAGTCAGACTTGTCATTTGAAAAAGTAAGGAGAAAAACAGTAATATAAAAATACCGATTAAATACTCAACCGTGACTATGCTGATCAAATTCGAGGCTTCTGAATAAACTATATATATTATATAGCCATAATTATGTTTTGTATATATGAGTCTCTAAATATATATGTATATATACATATGTGTGTTATATGCGCAATGAAATTCAATTACAAGGTCATTGTGAATTATTCATATTGTATGTAAAATTTGGGTTTTGTTTTTATAAAAACAAAAAGCTTGTCCCTGTTTTGTGTATTAAAATATTAAGGACACAATGATCTAAACATGTACTATTCCAATGTTCAAGTCTCTTTTGATATAAAAGTCAGCATTTAAAAACTCAGCAGCAAAATTCTTGCCTCAAATAAATGTCAAACTCCATCTCTTAACACAAGAATTACCAGTAAAATAGACACAGAGAGATTTTTAAAGATATAAAAAATTATTAATGAGTCTCTGTGATTCTGTTTCCTCCCTTGCTCAGTGATTTACATTTTTTCCCATGCTAGAATATGAAGCTAATTTATACATTTCAAAATTGCACTTTTAAAAAAGTGTTATGTAAGTTATGATCTTTGGTAAATGTGAGGAGCACCGTCTTTGGTTGACAGCTAGTTTATTTACAAGTAGCATGGTCACATGGGTTGTGACATCAGTGCGTTTAACTTCCAGATAGAGGACGTTTTATTGGGTGTAGATATTTTTAATGACTATTGCCCCATACAGGGCTGTTTTTTCACCTGTTGGCATTTCCCTTCCTAAACATCTGAACAACTCTCAAAAAGAAAAGTTTTTCACAGCACTTCACTTTTACTAGTGGGTTTATATTGAATGAAATGTTTTCTTTTTTTAAATTTGATTTTGTTTCTCTGAAGATTATTCTGTGGCAGGCTGCAAGAGGCTCTCTGTCTACATAAGGCTGGAGCTTAATTGTTTTTGACAGATGTGAGACATGTGACTGTATGACTGGAATTCCTTTATCAGCAGCAGATGATAGAGTCTCTGTGTTGTAGTTGAACTGAGACTGTGGCTGGTGGGTGTGTCACCTGACCTGTGACTGTGGACCAAACACTGGGCTCTCAGCACGCTTCTGACTTGTCAACTCAGTGCTAGTACTACTACTACTATTACTACTACTACTACTACAATTATTGCTGCTACTACTAATTATACTTCTACTACTGCTATAGTATTGTAACTTCTAATACTGCTTCTACTACTACTGCTAATACTACTACAATTACTGCTACTACTACTACTACTACTGTGGCTTTTTAAAGAAAAGTGCTAATGCCATTACAACTAATACTACTACAATCACTGCCAGTAGTACTACTCTCATTGTTGTTTTTAAGAATCCCTGCTACAGTAGGTACAGTGTGTGACTGATGGATGAATGGATGTGACGTTGTAACAGATCTCAACAAAATGCACACACACTGTGTTCATTTCATTACACTAAGCTTTGGATCCAGGTTGCTTGTTAATCTAATCTGAGGTTATTATTATTATACTGTAATATTTATCAGAAAAGATTGGGCTCTAAATGTTATGATCAGGAAATTCTGGGTGTTTTACAGTGTAGTGACCTTTTGTAAGTAGAACTTCCTTATTGGAATTTCATTGCACAGAAAGCCTTCCACTCTCAGATTGTTTCCTGCCGGTCTGCCATAAACCTAACAATGTAATCGTAAACAAACTGAGACCCAGTGACTTTTGGGAAAGGCTGTGGATCAGCGGTAAAGGACACCTGATACCCCTCCACCTGTCCTCCCTTTTCTCCTCTCTCTCTGCTCAGCTGCAGCACAGAGGAGCTGTTGTTTGATCCTCACTGGACAGTGCTCCAATTTTTTTCTCTTTCTCTAATTTTTTCCCCTCCCCTTAGCTCCATGGAAACAGTGTTTCTGTGACAAGCAACCCTGCCTTTTGACCCTCCTGCTTCCAAAACAAAGACAAGAAGTTGTGGGAGAAAGGGGGAGAAGATGAAGGGGGCGCAGTGAAGTAGGGGTGAAGAATGAGGGGCAACGGTGGAGAGAGTTATGGGAGGTGTTTCTGTGGAGGCTGTGAGGCCAGACCCCTGTTGCTCTGTGTGCCAGAGTCCTATAAAGAACAGAGAATTATGACCCAGGACTGTAGACCAGTGGGCAGTGCCAGTGACTGACTGTCTCTCCGACTGTTTGCTTCTGATAGGTCAGACACTTTGGCAGTGATCTCACAAAATGACTAATTGTAAAGGTGAAAAGTGCAGTTGATATGCATACAATCTCTTTTTTTCCAGACCTTTTTTTTAAAGAACAGTATAATTATTAAAGTAGTTAACACCAGCAGCACCAAAGTGAGTTATTCTATGTATTTATTGTTGTGTTAGTGTGGATGTACAGGACATGTCATAGGACGCTGCTTCCCCTGCTACAGGAAACTGCATCAATGGCTATGATGTAATCTCTCACATATTTCCAATGCAATGGTCAAGAGCTCATTCCTATTTTAGAGGAATGTTTTTGCACATGAAACACACTTTGCACACACAACATCACTTGATGAACCTGACACCTGATGTTCCAACGAAATGGTAAATTTAATGTCAGTCCGATGCTGTAATTGACAGAGCTCTGCAGAGAAGAACACTTTATCTTTCTACTTCTTTTCACCCTTGCAACTCTTTCCTGTTCTCATTGCATTTCTTTCCAGTTTTAGCAACCTTCTCCCTGAAGAGCTCTGTGTAGAAGAATGAGCATTGTTAACGTGTATGTGCTGTGGGCTCGCCAATCTCCTCTGTGAGATATGTGACAGAAAGTAAACAGAATTTGTAGCTGTAGGGAGGGATGTTAAAAGTCCACAGTCGGTCTGTTCAGACTGCAGAGACACTCCTCCAGCCTGTCAGGAGGCAAAAGAGAAAGTATTGTTGTTTGGCCGCGCTCTCCGTCCTGGTACTGACATCTCCACAGCGATTTGGATTTTACTGACTCACAGACCTCAAAGCGAAGGTCATTCCTTCAATGCCTGTGTGTTTCCTCTTTACATTAAGCAGGTGTGACGTGTCAGGTGATAAACCCTATCCACGCTGATTGACTCAACCTGACAAAAGCAGAGAATTGCACAAACAAGCCTGAGTTGTATCTTCATAAATCAAATCGTCTTGGAAATGGTAAAACATTTACAACGTGGAGTTGCACTGCCTAGTTACAAAAGATGGTCACGCCTAACTCTTCCATATCTCTGCACGTAGAATTATTACTCACATCGGTGTTGCTCACAGAGTCAGGCGGTTCTTCATAGCTGTGCACTGCACACTTTTCTCTCTCCTGTTTTATTTTAATTTAAAAAAACATCTTTTTTTATTGTATTGTTTTTTTTTTCCAGTTACCAAGATGTTTTCAGGAATGTTTGAGAAGCAGCACTACGACAGTCCGCCTGTTTACAGCCCTCCTTTCTCCTCGCCATCCAACAAAAGCTACGGCGCTCCAGGCAGCTTCCACGGCCCTCAGAGCGACTACAACGCCTATCCACCTGCGCCTGGATCTTACTACATCGAGGACAAACCTCAGCACTTTTACAAATGGCTCTCACCTCCAGGCATCATCAAGGCCATGATGGTGACGGTGGTTGTGCTGTGTGTGGCCATATTTGCATGTGTGGCCTCCACACTGATGTGGGACATGCAGTATGGATACGGAGCAGGAGGGGGTTACTACGGCTCTGGGCTAGGCTACGGCGGTGGATATTCAGGAGGCAGCTACGGCTCAGGATATGGAGGCTACGGAGGCTACGGAGGCTACGGCAATGGCAACTACTATGGCTCCTACGTCTCACCTTACTCAGCCAAAACTGCCATGATCGCCATGGCTGCCATCAACTTTGTGGTATCACTGGGGTTCTTCATCTCCAGCTTCTCCAAATCGCCAATGTTCCGAAGTAGGAAGTTCTTCCTTGCTGTCCTGATAACCTGCATCATCGTGGGACTCCTGCAGGTAAACTTCAGCCATATCTCTTTCTTTTGTCCAGTCTTGGTTCTTTCATTACAGGTTATTAATATGGGAAAGGTTATGATTAAAATGATTACTTTTTGGTTTGTTAACATTCAAGTTTCGATGGTGTTGGTTCATTTTATTTTCCTTTTATTTCATCTCTAGTGAATACAAATGCAGATCTGTTTCAATTTTCGTAACCCAATGTTAAGCTCCTATATTCCTATAGTATCGCAGTATATCGCAATATATAATATTGTGGCTCCTGTATAATGATACATGTCATATTGCCAGATACAGATCGCTAGTGAAAGATGAGTTTTTGCAGCTTGATTAAAAAAAAAAATCTCACCTCATAAAAAAACTGCCTGTTTGAGCTGACAGTACACATTCACCACCTTAACTGACTGGTAAACAACCGTGTCTGACTGTAAACCATTCACTTCGTGCCTCAAAGTGTAACAGATAATCAGCAGTTTTATGTCTCACTGCTGTGTCTTTCAGGAACTTCAAACTTATTAATTGTGTAACTTGTTGAATTTGTGGAAATGGCCCTTTACATAAAATGCCATTGAGGTATCTTGCACTGATAATACTGCGTCTGTTACAGTCCCACCCTGCTCTGATGTGAGTGGTATTTAAACGCGCCTGCTTTCCAAACCCATAAACATTAATGTGAAAATGTGATTAAAGACGCATGTGGACATGGTTTAGACCCTGGAGTTCAACTTGTTCAGTTCTTCCCACTCACACAGCAGATTATTATTTGATAAATCTTTCAAAAACAACCAGAAGCAGTTGCTCCATCTGCTCCCAGTACATTCTTATTCAGTATTATTGTTGTGTTTGTTACATCGTTACATTTAGTAAATGGTACACTGTCATAGTAACCACAAGAAGTGATTACTATGAAAGTATAATATTACATAGAAATAATTTTACTCTAAATGGATATAAATGTTTATCTAGTCAAGACTGAAACATAGACTGAACTAATGTTATTAATCATAGTCACCAATGATATAAATAATACATGTTCTTAATGTGCTTCTCTCTCAGGGCATCATCAACATTGTCTACATAGTTGGAGTGAACCCCATGGCTCAGGGCTCCTCCAGTATGATGTACAACCCCATGCTCATGATGTGCCAGAATCTGTACCAAACCACTTACTCACAGATGGGAGGAGTGGGAGGTTTCCCCATTTACAACCAGTACCTCTACCATTACTGCTTTGTGGACCCACAGGAGGTGTGTACTGTGGATGGTGAAAATACACATTATTAGTTCTGTCTTTAAACACCTGCACTTCCAGTAGAGTGGACAACAAGTTGTGAAATGTTTATTTCCTCCTTTGGAATCAACTTTATACAGTAATCGTGTTCATGTTATCCCAACTTACTTGAGAACTCTTCAACCTTTATTCCTGATTTTCTTTTTTCTATGTTCTTCTTTCAGGGCATTGCCATGGCGTGTGGATTCCTGGTAGTAATCGCTCTGGGTGTAGCAGCTTTCTTTGCATTCAAAACCAGAGGAAAGATCTGGCGCTATGGGAAGCCAAATATTTACTGGGAGGAGCCTCTCGTCGGAGGGAAGGCCTCTGAGGGTCGTGATGTAGAGGAATGGGTAAGAACAATAAGGCGGGGTCTTTAACATTGAATTTATGGGGTTAAAATGCATTTGTATGCAGGGAGTGCTCTCAAGTAAAAGCAGGATCAGGATTAAATCATTAAATATTTATATAATTTTTGATGCAAAATCAAACTATCAGCTTTGTTATTTAACTCATTCACTTTGTTTAAATCAGTTTTGTTATTTAACCCATTCACTTTGTTTTTTTTTTTTTAAAAAAAAATCTGAGAATGTCCATGTTTTTAGTCAGTTGTTTTTCAAAAACGTAGCAGCTCACTTTAGAAGTCATCACTTCTAAAGACAGGTTGTGTCTGTTGTGGTGAAACAGACTCAGCGAAGAGCTAAAGTTAGTCTTGCTGAATCTCATTGTTGGGTTGGGTTTGTCTGTGTTCTATTTCGAAATTCCAGCTCACCACTGATGTAGATGCAGACCTTGTTAGGTCATAGACCAGGTGACACCACACTGTCACCACGTTTTCATCACTGGTCTTCATGAGCTGAAAGTCCAAAAGGAGCGCCTCATGTAGCTCTTTTTGTTATCATTTTATAGGACTGTAATAGAAACACTCGCACTGTTGTGAGTGTGGTTCCTGTGACTGAGTCACTTTGTTCAGGGTCAGAGCTGATAGCAGGTCAGGGTTTTGTTTGCTCACCTCCTGCCATCCTGGTTTCACTCTGAGTAATCATTAACCACCTGGGAAGATAGGACACAGTCAGGTGGGTTTTAGAGAGTCTGCCTGCAGGTTTTTAAAAGTCAACAACACTCAGCGCACAAGCACAAGCAGCTCAGATGGAGGCTGATTATTGACCTGTTTGTAAATGTTGCCTGTTTCATGTAATGAATAACAGCAACTTGACAAGAAAAGTTTGTGTTTTAATTATTATCCATAAGATATCCAGTAGCTGTTTGAATTGTTTGAATGAAGCATTGGCCTTAAAAGTGTCTTATCTGAGGTCGAACAGTTTTTCTTCCCAGTGACTATGTTCAGATATTGTGCAGTCACAGATCAAATAGTAAAAACTATCTAATCTTGATTGTTCTCTTGTACACGTACTGTACAACGTGAGTCACTTCTCTTTCTGAGAATAGACCAGTAGAACAGACGTGCTGTAATGCTGATCAATGTGAAGAGTCTAGTAAGGGTAATTACATGCCATCATACAGTACACACAGAGGCCGTCGTGACTAGACTACACAAGCCCTGAGTTAATCCTACGGCGGCTCTAAAAATAACACAGGCTACCTAATGATACCTAATGTCGTCTGACTGTAGGTGATGCATATACAATGTATGGCTTGTCTATTCAAATAGTGGCTCGCGGGCCACAAATGCATCCTAGACACAACCTCAGAGTGGCCCAGTCTGGTCATTTGAGAATGTGGAGAGAATCACAGTTGGAGTGGAATTTGGAATTTCTACAGTAGAACAGGCCATGAATGCCACTTTCTCTGTAGCCTAGCAACATGCAGACCATAATGTGTCACTTGTGTGTCTCGTGGTGTTAACAGTTTAGTTATACTGTTAAAGCAGCACTTTAGCAACTAATAATGAAACTCAGAATGGACTAAAATTACTGGTTATGTTTTGGTCCAAATGTTATTGGGTAATGACCAAAACCTGTGGGCAACCTGACTTTTGTGGTTTGAAAATCTCGCCCCATTAAATGTATATCTGCTGTATGGACTTTAGATGGGGAAACACAGGTCTCCTGATTATCAACTGGATTTAAAAACAGGTCAGCCAAAAGTGTGTCATAGTTGTATATGTTTCCACTTATCAGCTATCGTTCTGTTCTTATTTTTGAAATTACCTGAATCTGTGCCACACAGTGAATCATGTCCTGTGACAGTCTCTGCTCAGACAGGGGTCGGTCTCAGACCCCACTGCTACTGCCCAGGCCTGGCTCGCTCTGATGACCTCACACACTGGTCTTATTCAGCTCACTTATGGCATGGAAGGATCTATTGTGTCTGCCGTATGAGGTCATCAGAGTTGGGTTCTGGTTAGATGCAGGGACATCCAGTGTTTATCTGAGCAAAAATAAACATGACATACATTAACCTTGCGCTTTCTGCGCTGCCTATAACAGTACAAATATATGATTCCTCTCTGTTTGCAAAACTTTAATTCTGCAGATGTTTTTCAGAGGTGAACACCCAGGTGAGGTATTTACTTGCTCACAAAATATGTCCTTCATTTATTTATTTTGTATCAGAAGAGATTTTCTTTCTCCCTACATTCCAAAAAGGTTTTCTGTAATGAAACCTGAATTTAAAAAAAATGACATGACATGAAAATCACATCATTTAATCTGGGCTGACCTCTGGTCATCGTCCTGCATTATTTTTAAAATATTTTTTCAACTTGTCTCACAGTAAATCGTGAATGTGAGGCAACTAATGGATGAGAAAACAAAGACAACGACACCAAGAAACATGACAACAGTATAGAACACACAAGACATATTTACACTGGTCCTCCGTCAGGTTTCAGTTTTGTCACACTACACAGAAATGTGTACATGCACCTGATCTAATACAGTGTAAATGAATGCATGTCCTTCAAACTGCTCATTAATCATATTATCATCATTTACTTCTTATGTCCATGTTTGATCTAGCTGTCTTCCCTTCCATATTCCTGATTCGTTTCTGCATCCTTTTTCCTGTCACTTCCCTGTTTCACATCTGAAACATTCTCGCCGTCTATGCGTGCACAACAGTTGCTGTGCAGCACACCCAGACTCAGCATTTTTGACATTCTTACATGAACCAATATTCTCCTGCTGCTTCTCCTGAAGTTCAACCAAACACTCCACCCAACGCTCTGTGTTGTGTTGGCCTCACAATGTTCAGAACTGATGCTGCTTTAAAACAGCTATGAGGAGTGGAGTCAACTGAAAAGACTTCTCCTGGTCTTAAAAACTGAAACACAGACTAAATTAATGGATCTGTTGAGTTAGGATTTAATTTTTTTATATATATATTTATATATAAACGACAAAACAAAACGACTTTCTCCCCTTAGAGGGAATGAATTCCGCGGGTGAGGATCTTTACTGACGTGCAGATTAAAACGTCATCTTTTTAAAACAGCTTTTCTACTTTTTAGCATTATTTTGTGAAGTCCAGTGAAATCTGCTTTATCTGTTTGGATTATAACAAATAAATTGATTAAATCTTCATCCCACCATTAAGATCATTACACCAGAAACTGTTTCAGACAACACTGAACCAGGTGACGAAACAAAAGAAACAAGCCACAGTTTTACATTGTGTAGATGTTTGGTTAAAGGCAATGATTGATGAATTTACTGGAAGAATGAGTGACCACCCCATGAGGACTTCATTGTCAGGAACACCTTCATGTTGGCCTTCCGACCTCACAGGAAAGGTTGGGATTAGTTTTTTGTTTAAAGTCAGAAAGAAAGAAAACATCCGCTGCAGGTGTGTTACAACAGGAAGTCACAAAAACAAGCGTTTGTATGCCACAAAAATGCGCTTAAGATGAATGATTTCACAAAATTGAAGCAGCAAAAAGGTACATAAATCACATCTAAATAGATTACACATTAAACCAGAACAGTTCACTGATATTCAAATCATTAGTTTCCAAGGTTTTCCTTTGTTTACTTTCAATTATTCCCTTTTCTTCTACTCTGTGAATCATCAGATAACCTACATTTCACTGCAGGACTCAACCTGCTGACCAATTACACGCCTCACTGGTCCGTCTAACTTAGTCTAAGCATTAATAAAACTCTTCCCTGCTGCCAAAGACAAAGCTTTTTCTTCTCTTGTCAAGTCACTTTCTACGGAAATAGGAGAAAGACCAGAGAAGTTCAACAGGATGTGAGACAAAGGATTGTGTGTCGTGTCCTGCCATTGGTGTGTCTCTCAGTGTCTCTGTTTGTATTCTCTCCTTCTTGCTGTAGGTGAACAATGTGGAGGAAAACCGCAGTGTGCAGGACGCCCCGACTCTGCTGGTGTCCGAGAAGGGAGCGGGGCTGCTCAATTCCTCGGCCAACAGTGTCCTCTCCTTCCCGCCTCACAAGACCAACAGCAGCGTCTACAAGGACGAACCCTACGACAACGAGTGGGTGACACGCTTATTCACAGAAACTTTTACACTTTACTCTGATTCATATTCACATATGATCAAATATTTGTTAAAGGAGAGTTGAGCGTGTGCTGTTCCTACTGACCTTAACACAGGAAGTGGGTCAATGTTCTCAGCAGTGGCAAAGACAGATGTGTGTGTGTTTGATCACTGTACTGGCAGCAAAAACCCAAATCAGGTTTTTTAAATTTTATAGTTGTGTTTTTGGTTAAAGAAATGCATCAATCTGAAATCAATTTGAAATAGAACGTAACTTAACATAAACCTGCTGTTATTTCTATTTCCTTTTTAGAAAAACACAGGAAAACCACGTTGAGAAATGTTGACTTAATTTGATTATTCATAAATAATCGTGATTAATTTCCATCATCCAAAACTACATAGAGATTAGTCGTATTATTTGACAGCACAAACTTTATATTCATATTTGTACAACACCATTTGAACCTGTTAACAGTAAAGGAAAAATGACACCACCGTTCAAACATGTGACACACACACACGTGCAGTACATATACACGCACATACACAGGCAGTATACAGTCTATGCACAATTTGTCCGAGACCTTTGAGCCTTCGTCATTTCAACTGCCACTTCATTCACGTTTTTTATCTGTGAATTTCTCTGTGAAGGCTGAAAACAACCTTGATGTTTTTGACTTTGGTGTTTGATTTTCTTCACAAGATTTCTGAAGCACCTTGTTATTGTTGCCCTAGCACACTTCAGTCTGTGTGTTTAAAGCACTCTGCTCTTTGTTACCATTTCAAAAACAGCTTTATCCAGTGTTAAAAACACTGTCAGAAGGTCAGTACGTACAGAAGCACAGGCTAGCTTTTTTTTATTATTTGTGTTCGCCGGTCCTCTCTCTCAGCTCGAAAAGCTGGTGTTTAATCATCAAGTGGAAAAAGTTTGCCGGTCACATCCTCTGCTTCTGACATTGTGCCTGTGTTTTCTGTATGAACTTCTAATATCTGCTTCAGTGGAGGTGGATTTCTCCACAAATCCCTTAATCTCTAAACCTGGGGCTGCCCCTCTCTTATTATTAAAAAGCTGTGCCTGATTCCCGGTCACTTGGAGCCCTCTACTTGGACTCCAAATAGTAGGGTAGGAACAACAACAAGGTGGTGTTCGTCGAGGTGTTTGTCTTATGGTATGATATATGACCTCTGTCTGAGGCTTATCAGTAAATAATTGTTTTTGGTCGCTGTCCATTATTACATAATTTTCTTAGAAGCAAATCGCACTTGGCCTTTTTTGCTTATTACAGGGGTAAAAGTAAAAATGATCTCTTGACGGTAAAAGTTCATAATAAAACGGAAGCTTAATTTGGAACAACTCAATCCACACAATTAGGTGAAGACTCTTAGAGATGGCATATTTTCAGAAAGTGGTTTAATCTTTTCTGATTTGTTCGAATCACCAACACTGGTTTATTTGTGGTAGAGTTGGGAGTGTGGACCTGGACCAGTCCTCTTTGTACTCACTACAAACTAACTGTTCAAACTTGGACTTGCTGTGCCCTCCAGATACTCAGAGAGGACCATCAGCAGACCTTCGGAGGCCCATTCCCACAGAGGAAGAACCAGCTCCAGTCTCTCGGAGGAGACGAGCGGCGGCAGAAAACCTTCTGCAAACAGGGGCAAGAGACGCAGGCGCAACCCCGACTTTGATGAGTCTCAGTACGAGACGGAGTACACCACGGGAGGAGAGACGGGCAACGAGCTGGACACAGAGGAGTGGGAGAGGTGAGAAGTGGACACGGCTGGACCGCTGTGTCTCTGGATTAGACATAGAGACCGTAGATTACAAACCAATACTTGGGCTCCCTCAGGACCAGACCTAAATTCACTGGGTTGAATAAGAGTGTAATCTCACAAAGTCAAACTCACGAGATTGATTACATTTCAAGGAAAACTGCAGTTGTTTTAGTTTTGACAATAACTGAAGGAAAACCCTTCAGTCGGAGCATTTCCACTTCAGTCCCGCAGAGACAATAATCCTCCGAAGCATGCCAGTCCACGGAGACTCTAGGGGGGGATAACCAGAGAATTGGGTCAAAAGTCCAACATACATAACGTAGAACAGTAAAAATATCTGCTCCACACACTAAATCTGATGCATATAAATAGACTACATTTGATTTACATAGTAAATAGAATAAGTGCGCGGTGGCAGAGTGGACGGTGGTTGTACTGTGGAGTTTCCTGTGTATGTGAGTTAGTTAAGTTCATTGTTCAGTGTAAATCACCCCAAGGTGTAAATGTGGCCCTGTGATGGAGTGATGATTTGTCTAGTGTGTGCCCCGCCCTCCTCTGGTGGCTGCTGGGATTGGCCTGAAAAAGGTTAAGCAATAGAAGATGTGTGAATGAATAAAAGGAGTGTCTTTTCTCCAGTGAAAATTGATTGACAGCAATCTACCTAAAATTCACAAATTCTTCCTTCATTTTAATCTACTTAAAAAGAAAGTAAACTGTTAACCTTAACACGGTAACCTTGACGAGTCACCTGACCCTGAGTTACTCCTGGAAGTTGCAGGATGTCGTTTTTAAAAATATAAATGTATATTAAAACAGTGCTGCAGTAAAAGTCAAGAAGAGATTTCTCAGTGTTATAAATGACTAATGCACATGTATTATGTCTTTCTGTGTTTTATTTTTTAATTAATATTCTTTGTCTTTTACAGTTCCTACCCAGAGATAACAACTGATGTTCAGCGTCAAGATTACAAGAGAGAGTTTGATGCTGATCTAAGGAATTACAAGCGCATGTGTGCAGAGATGGACGACATGAACGACCAGCTGAACAAACTCAGCCGTCAGTTGGACACACTGGATGACACGTCTGATAAATACCAGGTGAGACATACTGAGCAGAGACAGTCTGAGCTTTGGTTTTGTCATGTCAAAAAATAGATTCCTTGGAGACTTTGTGATGAAGTGTTTGCAAGTAATCACATTTTTAAAGCCTGATTTTTTTCAATTGCAATTTGTTTTGGTTGGTGACTGAATTAATCAAAAACTTAATTTTTCATCACATAATATTTAATAATTGACAATCAAAAACTTTTCATCACATAATATTTAATAATTGACCTTCAATAATACGAAATACTGAAGTTTTCTTTCTCTTCTTTAGGATGTAGCAGAGGAATATAATCGTTTAAAGGATCTGAAGCAGGTAAAAACATTCATTTCTGTATATTTAAAACACAACAGTTTTCTATACTACACATACAGTTGCTATGATAAGATTTATATTATCTATGCTGTGTCATAATGTTAAGAAAATGTGGACGTTGTTAGAAGTTTGTACACAGGAGAACTGTGAAGCCAAGCAGACCTGTCTACGTTTTACTTTCCAATGTCCAGTGTTAGGGAAGAACTGATGCATAAAACAGAGCGACTCCCTGTTCTTCTTCTTCTTCTTCTTGAATGACTCGTCTGCTCGCTCTGTTCTGTAGACACCAGACTACCAGTTCAAGAAGAGAGAGTGTCGCAGGCTGAGACGCAAACTGTTCCACATCAAACGCATGGTGAAGAACTACGACAAGAACCACTCGTGAACCTGCTCAGTCATGAACCTTCACCTCTCAGAAAACACTCACGGACGCACTCCACAGTGAAACAGCTGACTGACACCAAAGTTACCTGCACAGCAACACACACACACACACACACACATAAAATGGAATGACACACTTTAACACAGGCACTGAAAATGAAGTGTATGGTAACAATTAAAACCTAAACTTGTTTTGAAAAAAGGAAACGCTGCCATCGTTTAACAGTTTTTCATTTTAATGGCGGATCATTTCAGAGTCGTCTCCTTCATTCTGCTGGTTTGGTTTCAGTGTTTTAGTCACTGATAAGAACAGAAACAATATTGTGGACGTTGTAGTCGTTGGCTCCACAGTTTGAAACAAATTATTACCACAAAGTATGCAGTAACTTTTAACCCTTTGGCCTCGGTGTTATCTGTGCTGTAGATGAACTTCAGTTTTAACCAATGTCACTGTCAGTAAAGTTAACTGCTATCTGCCAAGACTAGCTGTATATTTCTCAACCTCTATACATCTGCTGATTGTCACGAACACAAGGGAGACCAAAAACAGGGCGAAACCTGGCCAATAAGAAACGTAATGTGATGTTTGTACATATGCAAAATGATTTTTGTCCATTGTGAGCACCAGGAACAAATTAACTGTAGAGTTTTTTCCTCAACATTTGCTCTAAATAGTTCAGATGTATGGTGATTTTTTTTCTTTGTTGTTTTAGCTATGCAAAAATGGTTTTACTGTATTATTTAACATGTCGACATCTCACTTTTCTCACTGTCTATAAGCTGAACATATTTTCCCCCTGATTATGCACCAGTAAAAAATAATTGTTGTTTTTGTCATCTTCATTTTTTATTATTATTATTATAATCTACTGTATATTGTGACGTTGTTTGGACACCGTTTTAATTTGTCGCCCTCTTGTGTTTTTACAGATAACGTTGTTTTCATTTGCAAACCGTTTTGTGAGTCATTTATTTTTGTATCATCGTTTTCTTTTACTGATGTTCTAAAGGAGCATTCTTTCTTCCATATGGGGGAATGCTCACAAAGTATTGAAAGCAGTAATAAATATTAACATTTCCGTCAATGTTCCTTATATCTGTTTAAGTTGTTTTGTATTTCGGTTTGTGGAACTGTGTGTATTTGCAGTGAGCATCCAGTAGAGGGAGCAATACGACCGAGTAAGCCATGTTTTTTCAAGGTGAGCTTTATTGCCCTCTTTTGGCAAGAAGGCACGTCTGAGTTCATAATACTTGTTACCACTATCACAATTATGTTATTTAATGTGAACACACACTTTTGTCACATGTATAAAATATTTTAGGGGAAAAAGGCACATTTTCCATTGAGCTCTGTCACAATTATGGCTAAGGTAAATAACACACGGGTGCAAAACATGTCAAGTCTTTATCCCTATAATTTTCCCCCATTATTTCTCTCAATTAAACCTGATTCAGAATTAGCAGCAGATCTACATGGACGTGAGCTCCAGTTGTCCATTTCTGAGACTGCCCTTCTAGAGAACCAGCTGATTCTGCAGGTACGTCATCTTCACCCACTGCCTCACAATTTGCCTCATTGCTCCTCAGTAATCCTGCACTTTCTATTTCTCTATCTCTACTCTATCGTTCATCACTCATTCTTTTACTCTTTCATTTTCAAATCTGCACTCTACGACAGTGTTTCATCACCACCGCATGTCATTCTCCTTATCCCTTATCACCCTAACCTGCTGTACATTATTTTCTGCTCTATCTACTTTACTAGGATGTTGTACAGCATCAGAGGTGCGCCACCTTTATCACATTTTCAATTTCACATTCTCCAGCTAAATTTTTGACCACTCGATTGTATTAACTTTTAGTGCAGTAGTGAGAGGCTTTTCTTGAACCTGCCATTCACAAACCTTGTTTACTTAAACACTGAAGTCACTCAGACAGGAATTGTGCATACTTTTATTTTCAGCAATGCAAAAATAACCACCCAAGGACATGGCTTGCATTTCTCTTTGAAGTTTTGGCATGGTCACATGAACATAATTCCTTTTAAATGCATAGCTAAACAGTTAAATCACTACAGTTTACATTCCAACAAATAACACAGAGTGACAGCAGGCGGCGCCGCTGAGGAAGTTCCAGGGACTGTGATCACGTGAAATTCGTCTTTCAGTCGGTGTACTTTGAAAGAAAGTGAGCTTCAGTCCATGGCCACAACAACCATGAACTTAAGTACCATGACCTTTATGATGTCAGTACCAACAAACAACATGGCCTTTGCTCCCCCTCCCCCCCCACCCCCAGACCCTCCCAACACCTAAAAGTACCTTGAATGTGTGCACCGATGGTCGACATTAACTGACGTGCTTCAGGATAAGGGCTCAAAAACATGGGGGGAAACAACGGATCAGAATAAACTATGCCTACCATTAAGAAACAAGTGTGCAGAGATTGGGCAGAAAAGCCAAAGACCTTTCTGTAAATAATCTTCCAAACAATATGTGTCCTCTAAATAAAGTTTACATTTTAACCCCCCGGACCTCCAAAAAAAAACAAAAAACATCATTGGCATCATTTTGTTAGACAAGTCACAAGGAAATATTATTGTGGTTGTTCTGATAATGAAAAGATACATTGATCCCTTTATATTTACCTTTCGTACACAAACAGTTCACAATACAATCTTTATGAATAAAACATGAGGTAATAATGTCACACAGGGATGTGACTGAGGATCCAGCCAATGTCTGCCTGCTTCACTCTGTCCCTACTGTCACATGGTACACAGCATCAGAGGCGTGTTTCAGCATTTAAGGACATGGATTTGTATGTTTCATCACGTGGTTTCTTCAAATGTCTCTTTAGAAAGTGTCAATGTTAACATTACCGTGGTGTGAAATGAGGAAAGAAAAGTTAATGTTAGTTCTTGGGGCAGCTTTACACTTGCTGTCAGGGGATTTTTTTTGTTTTCTTTGCTGCTTTCTTCCTTTTTTACATGTATTCACCCAGCAGCCAGTATTTAAGACGTGTTACCATCAATATGTTGAACTATTTCCTTTTCTGCTCAGTTACACTCCACAGCTGCGTTTTCCAAGGACGACAGGAGAGTTTTTGTGAACATTTAGTGTAATTATTTCTATATTCAAGTCTTGAAGTTTTCTCAGTCATGTAGTAGTATTTGAAAAATAGCCACAGAATGAACATAAGATGCATTGGATTGGAGTTCTTTTGTTCCAAATTATTGTTGCAAACAAGAGAAGTAGAGCAGATGTTTTGGTTTTCAACTCAACATGTTTGACGTCATTTTTCATATTACTATATATTTTGACTTTTTCATTGTCTTTTAGTTAAGATTTTTAAAATTTTGAACAAGGAAGAACAACATTGTCAGGCTTTGAGTTGATGCTCTGATTCTCGTCTATTCACATGCACTTTCCTGTCATATTATGCTTTTGTCCCCCATTACAAAGTTGACATCATAGAGCAATAAAACAAAGAGGTGAATTAGTGAACAGAATGAAGTGAACAGTGACATCATCTCACCACAGACTTCCATTCATATGGAGTCACTAACCATTAAAGTGATTCTTTGTATAAAAACTTTGGAAAACGCTGCTTTTAAAGAGTACACCAAAGTCAATGCCTTTTTTTTTCTTTTGTCTTCATGCTGTTTTAGGACTAACAAACGCGTCTCTAACGTAAAGCTCGTTCAGTAAAAGTGGCACTGCTATGGCTTCGTGTTTAGAAACAGAAGAGACGGAAAAGCATACAGGCCTGTGTTCCAACTTGAGTCACATTAGAGGTGATAAAGGAGGAGGTAGTATAGGCACGTGGCCTCGGGTCAGAGTCCACATTCTCATTAAACCCCTGTTTCATGTCCAGAATGAGACAAAGAGAGATCAGATGAAGGGGCAGGGGAAACTGTTAAGTGAGCAGAAAGTAAAGGAAATCTAAGATTTTTGTTTCCCTGGAGCAGCTTTGGTGAGACCACCACCAATTCAATGAGGATAATGAAGGGAAACCTCAGAACAGTTTGTGTTCACAACATTCAGTTTGTATTTGTGCGTAATCTTCCCATCTGATCTCAGTTCTCCTCACTCTGGTTTCTCTGTTTGTTTTTTGTTTCACTGCCCCGTAGCGTATGGCCAGCCGATGGAGCTCCCTGACAGCTGCATGTCGCGGATCAGCGTCTCGATGGGCGTCTTGCCCACCAGCCGCATGAAAAAGAGCTGAGAGATGAGGTTGGCTGGGACAGCCCGCAGAGCAGGGAGACGCAGCAGTAAGCGGCCGAAACGCTGTGGCTGGTTCGGGTACTGCATCCTCTCGTACTCCGTCAGTGCCACCTGGGCCTTCTCCTGCAGGGACTCCACATGGGCTGGGTCAGTCAGACCACAGGCATCTGTAAGAACAGGGAGAGAGGGAGTTCTAATTATTTAATATTTCTATTTTAACTCATATTTGAGTTAATATTTCTAATTTATTTTAATGTTTTTAACTGCTTCACTTTGTCACCTAGAAATATTGTGTGTTATTTAATTAGTTAGTTAATATTTGGGTAATGGACCCAATGGGTCTATTAAAATACTATACAAATTAAAATACAAATATCTGATCATTTAAATTTCAGTTTTAACTCTTGGAGCACAATTTATGTTTTTATTGAAACTATGTTTTG